TTTGGAACTTGTGTGTCCATTTGGTGAATGTAAGTCCAATATTTACTTAATTTTAACCTACTCCTGAGGGAGCTGTCTGGCTCTATGTTCACCACGTCATCTCTGACTGTACCTGCCTACTGTTAAGTGCTAAGCAGATGGTGTACAGTGTGTTTTTAGAGCTACTGAGTTAAAATAGCGGCCTACTGTAGCTGAAAACAATGCAATGAGAGCAGTGAGAGTCAAGTAAAATGGCCAAGCTGCAGTCTAGACAGCTGAACAAGAAGAGAGTGAAGCTGCAGATTCAGATGATGAATCCCTGTGGGCTCATCACAAGTGACCCCTTTGTCTCATTGTTTTCACATTGTCATTCCATGTATTTTTATTATAACATATCGATTAAAGTTGTTGCCCATAGTTGCCGATTGTAGCAATAAAGGGAGACTTTTATACATGAAAGTGTACAGTCTCCACTGTGTTTTGGAGTCACAGGTACAAGTGACAGTTCAGTCGTCCTGTTGTCAAACAGCCACAGGTCAAAAGCCTGAAACACAATTACATGACATCCTTAGGAGACTTGTGTAATGTCTATCTGTGCATGTGCCCATCCATCCATAAAGCTGAACCTGCAGGGACGGCAGCACACTTATGCCTGAGTAGCTGTTCAGCGTCGCCGTGGCAACAGCATCACCTCTCTCCTCTCCCGCTGAGGCTCTCTATATACTGTATATATTTCTAACTCAATTCATTTTCATTTCAATGGCTGCTTTATCAACACTACCCTGGTTTTCCTTCCACTGTCAAAACAGAAGGCTTGATACGTTTAAACTAATTCTTTAACAGGCAGTATAAAGACGCATTTTTATTCAGTACTGAAAGTGAATGACAAAGATAGTCCACCATCATGCATAATGCATTTTTTGTGTCGTGTAGGCCAAACAAATCCAAACATCCAAAAAGTATTACATCACATCTATGTTTGCTTGTTAGCATGTTTCTGCTGCGTCTTAATGCTAACTTCTTTGCATGTTACTACTGGCAGCTATCCCTGTGCAAAATAGGATGAAACCATCAGCAGGGATATGATATATCTATCGTATGATGTGTGGTGTGTGATACAGATAAAATGGGGACCCATTCAGAAACAAATTGCTTCATAGTGCTACTAGTGGTCAAAAACTGGATAGAATACCTTTAATGTCGACATAACTATACGGCAGATGATGTAGATTTAATGTTCTGTAAATCAGTGTGTGTATGTTTGATTGGCTGAAAGGGGAACTCCAAAGCCATGACAGGCATGTTATCACCAAATTTACACCGGCTGCTCGTGTGATGTGCAGTTCTGTTGGGGATAATCACCAAAAGCAAGCCTAAAATTGTGATATTTCATCAAATTCACTTTTTTCTGAATGTGACATTTTTAAAAAATCACGAAAAAAATGTATCATTTGCATCAGATTATGTAAAAACAACAAAAAATATTGTGTGTTTCACAGAGCAACTGAAAAGCCATCAGTGACTGAGCTGCAGCAGCTTTATAGGTGAACTGCAGGCTGTGTGTATGCAGGGCAGAGATAAGACAAAAGACTGAGAGGAAAATAAAAGCATGGCTCAACAACGGTGGAAAGTTCAAGAAATCGTCACGGTGAAACATTTTTACAGAGTGAATGTACAGGGTATTCTAAACCAAGTTGTAACAAGTAAAATAGCTATAAAATGTAGAGACACCAGTGGGCAGTTGGAAGAAAGCTGTACATGTTGATTCCAGCTTTTGTTCATTTTTGTAAATTAAACAAAGAAATTCAGCTTTTTTCTCTAATTGTATGATGAATGGCCTTATAGCTGCGTCATACTACACAGATTTCACGTCTTAGTTCTCTTCACTTGCAGCCATTGTTGTGATATTTCCATAGTGGTGCAGGACTTTAGACTGGAGTGATACATGAGCCCACAGTAAGTAAATAGGTAAGTGGTAGGAGGAAAAAAAAAAAACTTCCTTGGAGTTTAGCAGATTAAACTGAACGTGTGGTTCAGGAAAATGCTTTTGTGAAATTAAAATATTTATAATGCAATGTAATTTAACTCCAATAATAATTTCATACAATTAAAAATAATGACTTTTATTATTTATGAATGTATGATGGACATTAATTTTTTTTTGTTTGTTTTTGCAGCTCCTCTTACATGTTTTTCTCTGTTACTGTTGTCTGAATGCGTTCTAAAAACTGCTATTCTATTTAGTTTATGTTCAGTTTGACCCGGTGTTAATGTGTGCAGAGGACTCATGGCTAAGGACTTTGTTTATTGTCATGTAGCATGGAATAAGAGCTACAATTTAGGTTCAAATCAATACATTCATAAATATAACACAGGGCCGTGCAGAGACCTTTAGAGGGGCAGGTGCTTAAAGTTAACAGGGGCCACATGGAGCACGGATTTGAAACACCATACAGAAGCACACCTTACAATACAACTGCTTGAATTGTAGCAACCCATATTAATAAAGAATGTAACATGGAATCACAACATACCATATCATTGTCCACGCCTCATATCTTTGTTCTATGTTTGACCTGATGGGGTCCACTGAACAGCTTCTGTTGAGGGGGTTGGTGAGGAGGCTGCTGCTGATATTGATTAGTGTAGACACTAGAAAGAGCATGGGAGAGATAGTAGGTGATTAAACAAGTGCTATGTGATCATGACAAGATGCAACAATAACTAACATTGCAAATGGCTGACTGTGACCTGCCACACTGCTGATTGTTTGTAGGAGACTCCTTGCTGAGAAGCTGCAGCCAAGGCTGGCTGAACTAAACAGAACAAGTTTTTATATTTATCCATCCATTCATTATCTATACACCGCTTAATCCTCACGAGGGTCGCGGGGGGCTGGAGTCTATCCCAGCTGACTCAGGGTGAAGGCAGGGGACACCCTGGACAGGTCACCAGTCTATCACAGGGCTACACTTAGAGACAGACAACCAAGCACACTCACATTCACACCTACGGACAATTTAGAATCACCAGTTAACCTCAACATGTTTTTGGACTGTGTGGGAGGAAGATGGAGAACCCGGAGAGAACCCACGCTGCACTGGGAGAACACGCAGAAAGATTCTGGTGCCCCCACTGGGACACGAACCGGCGAGGCAACAGTGCTACCAACTGCACCACCCTGCAGCCCTTTTTACATTTATGCATATTATATTTAATTTGTGTGTATATATACAAATGTATAAACAAGTACTGATATGTTTAAATGAGAGTTTGAGAAACTCACAATTCAAATTCTTCTAATTATTATTGTTATTGTATTTATACTGTAATAATTAAAATTATGTGAATATGCGTGAACATTGCATAGTTTTAATGAAATAACATAACTTATGCCTCATGGCCTCTAGAAACAGGAAAAAACTGCAACTCACTTGACAGTAAAGTCATACATCTTTTTAATGCACTTTGCCCATGACAAAGGAAATATATAGAAACTAGAAAAGCCCTCAGAGAGCCCAGACCTCCATCAAGCAGCTCATTTCCACCATATTGTGATTTCCAGCCAATGTTAACGTCCTGCATTCATTTTATCTACACTATTAGATTAATGGAGAATAAAAGCACACCTTTAGCATTTGAATAAACATTGATATCATTAATAACAAGCTGACGGAGTGATGAACGGTCGTTCTCTCAAATATTTTGTACACTTATTTCTGCAGTGACTTCCTGGCTTTAAGCTGTTAGCTAATGCTATGCTAGGTTAGCATAACTACAGCCATGTTATTGCTAACATAAACAAACAGGAAGTAGCTTAAGTTAGGTTAGCACAACTTTAGCAATGCAACGTAAATGAAAAGCATGACCTAAGCAACCAAGCACATGTAGTCATGACACATGGCAAAGAGTGTTAAAGTGAAACAGCAGACATGCTGAGTCATTGTTTATGTCACAACGTCGTTATGAACTTATCTGTCAGTAGCTCCACTCAGCCCACTCCTGTAATGCTGCCTGGCTGGAGCTTCCTCCTGAACTACTGAGAAGACGGCGGTGAGGACTGAATGGAGTCAGAGGTCAACATAACCTCCTTGGAGGAGGTAACAACAGGAAGCCTGGCATACTTTCTCCTTTCAGCACTAGCGGCTATAACTTATGAGAAGTGTGTGCAGAGTCAGATGCACACAGAGGATGCTCACTTCACTTTGGCAGTCATCTGGCAAGAATACACCAAACAAATACCTGCAAAACCTACTAACCGGACCATCAGTTGTTGAAGTCCTCGCTTAGCTGCAGGGCGCGTCTGGGCATCTCAGTGCAGTGAGGAACGTCTACGTGGATCACGTGACCAACCGAGGATAGATCTGAATTCTTATTTTTATTATTGTTTTATTTATTATTTTGAGCCACACAGACTTTCACACACACAATCAACTTTGACAGAAGGGGACTGTCCATATTAGAGATTAAACCCTACAAAAATGTTATGAAATACTTCTTTATCTGACTGTAGCACATAATAAGACTGAGACCTTACAGTGTTAATTATTACGGGGAATAACCACGCTCACAATCAGTAAACAAATACACCAATAAGATAAGATAAGCCTTTATTTATCTCACAGTGGAGAAATTCACAGTGTTTTCAGCAGCAGTACACACACACACATAGATACACACACTAGAAAGAAGAAAAACTGCAAACATAAGTATAAAAATACACATAAAAAGAGAAGCGCAAGCACAAATTATATAAAAAATTAGGATATCAAATACATAGAAAATAATAATAATAATAATAAACAGTGCAAAAGCAAATATATATATATATATACATACATGCCATAGAAAAATAATAAATAAATACATAAATTAATTAATTAATACAAAATTATATAGACAGTGTGAATATGAAAATCGGCACTTAAAAAAAAATCATGTGTTAAATCAGGTGTTTCATTCACTGTAAAGAAATATAACGGTCTAACAGAGCGCGTGCAGGCAGGATTACAGCCCTCCCTCCCCATTACATCATCACCATAACACGGAAGCAGTAGCAGCAGTGGGGGGCAGGAGAGGCGCGGAGAGACGGAGAGGTGAAGACAGGTAAAAAACACCGATAAATAGGGCCGTTAGAGGGGCAGAAACAAGCGCAAAGAGGTAACGAGAGACGGGCAGACGGACACACAGAGCGAGCATCATGGCGCTGATTCCCTCGCAGGTTCTCCGGGTCGCCATCCTGCTGTCTTACTTCTCCATCCTCTGCCACTACAAAGCCCTGGACATGCCGGCACACCAGACCTACGGAGGCAGCTGGAAGTTCCTGACCTTCATCGACTTGGTGAGATTTCGCCTTTCGTTTAATTTCCAGCCCGAACAGCTCCGTGAAGTGAACGCAAAGGTCGCAGCGCTGCGGGAGCTGCTTTGTGTTGTGGTCAGGTCGGACTGGTTATTCAGCGTTTCTGCCTCCGTGGCCGCTCTGCTCGGAGGATTCACTCGTCCCCGAGGGGGAGGGACGTGCTAATATTTGCTCTGAATTACACTAAACAGTGACTGGAGTCGCTTTGAAGCCCCCAGCGTGGGTTTGAGGAGGGCTGAGTGTGTCATGTCTGAACCCGGAACAGGTGCTGTGCTTCGGAATGTCTCCGGTCGTAAATGCGTCCTCTTAGGCGGGAGCGCGCCGCGCGTTCACGAACGATTGTAAAAAAACAAAAAAGAAAAACTCCCATTTGGTGACTGATCACACATTATGAGGATGGAGGGGTCAGAAAAGGGGGAGAGCTGTTTGTTTTAACTCTGAGCCTGATCCAGAATTTACTGTAAATAAAAAAACAAAACTGCAAATGATGGCAGTTTATAATGATCTGATGATTATTTTCTTGATTATTTGTTGTGTGTTGTGATGCTTGCTGAGGAAGAGTTTCAAACTTGAAATGAGTTGCCCTCCAGAATAAAGTGACATTAAGAGACCTGGATTCACCAGGCCAGTGTTAGGAATTCTGCATAGCAAATACTTAAGGGCCTTGGTGATGTAAATTTTGTCATTTGTCCAAATTCGTTACGATCTGTGTGAACGTTTCTACAGATCTCTGCAAACGTCAGTATGCACCCCCAAAATTTGCGCTTGCATGGTTACTAAGGAACAACTCTAACTCTTGCATCCATATATGCACACTTCAAAAGCAGACATGCACGTTTCTCTGTTCATACTACAATAGATCTGAGCATGCACTCACATTAACCCCTTTTTATGTAATTACAGAACAGCCGCTACTTACTGATTGGACTGTAGTACCATGTCTGAATACGATTCACAAGATGTGCTGGGCCCAGTGGCAGATATAACACAGGATTTCTGGAGAATTTAGAACTTGCCACTGTGTTTGGTCTCCGTCAACGAAAAGCTACAAATCAAATCACCTCCAGAGCAGGGTAGCAACCACTACAATTACAACGCTGTTAATAATGAATTGTAAAGGTGTGCATGGCCGAGAATCTCCTCGAAACAAGTATTTGTTTTCAGCACCACTTGTTACATGCACGGTCACAAATTTTTAACTCATGGTCAAAGCAGAACTCAGCAGGATTTGCAATCATTGGTTGCAAAAGCAAAGTCATTGTACTGCACAGTTTTGCGTTGGTGCTCTTGCGCTACCACACACAGTACATTAGTTGGGTAGAGTGTAGCTTTGAGGTGGTGTCAGGCCACATGGCTGCTACAAAAAGCACTTTTTATCAATGTTCTTTACTGTACTTAAAAAGCTACTCTACGTATCAGTTGAGGGGCAGCAGCAGGCTACATATTAGTCCTCATAATCAGTGTTGTTGATTCTGAAGTCAAATTAAATCAGGACTTTACACTGGAAGAGCAGAAGCTCAAAGAAGACACAAAGACACACACACACAGCTCTCATTCATCCCAAACAATGCCTGCATACATGCGCTCACAAAGAGGCACTTCAGTTGGAGGCCAACACACAAATGCAGCATGTCAGCTTTAAAGTTAGAGTGAAGTAGTTGTGGAACGCTAGACTTTCAGGAACATATTTAGCCAAAGGTTAGCTTTTACTAATAACTAATGTCTTTGTTTGAAGGATAAATCATCAGACATTTTCTGAGTTGTTTCTTTGTATTTCATTGATTCCTGAGATTTTTTCCAATTTTGTTTGCAGTGTTTGAACTTCAGCCTACTGCTTGAAACGCTTTAGTGTTATGGAAGCAATGGAAAAAATACAGGATGAGAGGAGAAATAATAGTTTGCAGAGGTGTGATCTCTTTCTTTGTGATACGTCTTGTTTATCCTGTGATGTACAAACAGGTCTCTGGTTTGTGCTTTGATTTGGAAAAGTTCAGTTTTTCTTCTTTAACTCCAATGACCAAATTATTTTTTTCCACATTTCTGTGACCAGTGACTGAAGAGAATATGCACCACCTATGATATCCCTCTCTATGTACTTGTTGACGGACTGTTTTAGCTGATGATCTGATCACGTCCTACACTGACATTCACAGGGTCAGTACATGTTCTCAATGACCATGTGAGTGGGACTTTGAAAGCAGACTGCAGATATGCATATGGTTCTATTTATAAAACAATGGATTCATGCTGGGGCTGCAAGGTGGCTCAGTGGTTAGCATCGTTGCCTCGCAGCAAGAAGATCGCCGGTTCGCATTCTGGTGAGGACACCCGGGATCTTTCTGCATGGAGTTTGCATGTTCTCCCCGTGCATCGTGGGTTCTCTCCGGGTTCTCTGGCTTCCTCCCAGACAGTCCAAAAACATGTTGAGGTTAATTGGTGATTCTAAATTGTCCTGGTGACCTGTCCAGGGTGTCCCCTGCGTTCGCCCTGAGTCAGCTGGGATAGACTCCAGCCCCCCACGACCCTAGTCAGGATTAAGCGGTGTATAGATAATGCATGGATGGATGGATGGATTGATTCATGCTGGTCTGCTCAGATGGTTGTATCTAATACATTGGGCAAGTTTTACAGCATATAGCAGGTACTTACAGATTGGATTTTAGCACTGTGTCTGTGTGTATTCCTGAGGTGTGTTGGTCACAGTGGGCGGACGTAGCGCAGAATGTCTGGAGAATTTCGTGCTTCCCTCTGTATTTGACCTCCATCAATGGAAAGCATATAAAAATAAGAGCTCCTCCCAAGTCTCCAGTGAGTACTTCAATAACGATTCTTTAAATGATAAACCATAAAGGTGTGTATGAGCACCATTTCATTGCAAATGCACAGTCAGCACATTTGCAGTGCAGACATATGCACGGTCACAAATTTTTTGGCAGCAGCACACAGGCTGGATTAGGGTGGATGATAAAATTTGAGAGAGGGATGAAAGAAGCCATCTATGTCAAACTGGAAAGACCATCCCTCAACAGAGGTGGAGGTCTGAGGCATCATCTCTCACCTGTTTACAATTCAGTCCTACGGTCTGTCCCCAGGAAGATGAAACTGCCTTCCCACCTAGCCTCAAAAGACCCTAACGAACCCCTTTGTGGCAGGGGGAGCACTAACGACTCACATAACGAGGGGGAGGAGCAACAAACCCCCAATTGAAACCGAAACTCAAGTGTTAATGACTCCCAACTAGTCAGTCAGACCTGATGAAGCTTCTTGGATGAGAGCTGAAACGTCTTCAAGGAACTCAAGCAAGTCCAGTTGGTACGATTAATCTACCAGTATAGCCCTGACCTGGATGACTGAGAATCTTCACAGACATGATAAAATTTATGTCATGCATACACTTGCAAAGCTTGCATTAGCCGTAGGTCAGCTAAGTTACTCTCCTGTTTTTTTTCTTTTAAATCGCACCAATGCACGAGCACCAAATGTGTCGACCAGATTTTCCGACCACATTTACTGATGTCTTTGCCACAGATTTTAATGAAGATGTCACTGTAGTCTCTGCTCCTATTGAAGACAGGCAGTCTAAAGCTCCTGCCATCCGTGTCCCAACAATAAACCTTCTTTCAAAGTCCCTCAAATCTTTTCCTCTTTCCATTGTGATACAAAATCATAATCAGCTGTGCCTGCTCAGCATTTTCATACACGGAGCCACAGAGCATGACTGGATGGTAATTGCTTAATTGTACCATGCAGGGCACCTGAGTGGAAGCATCTGCATTCATTATGTTTCTCCTCTCATTTACTCAGAGTTTCCCTTATATTTGTCACCCGTCTGTATATACTAATTAGCTATAATAAAAATGATAAATGGTGTGTATGAATTTATCAAAGAAAATATTAATAATAGGCCAACAAAGCTAATAAACATAGCTTTCTTAGCAGTTAAAGCCAAAATAATCCCCTCTGAAGAGCTTGTGTGTGTGTGTGTGTGTGTGTGTAGGTGTGTGTGTGTGTGCGCATGAGAAATAGCTGTGTCATATTTTCCACATTAGCCCTCTCCTCCTGGTTAACTGTGCTGTTAAAGACCTGTACACACCAGCAGCCAGGAAACACACAGTGCTGCAACATCTGGCTCCTAATCATACAGTGTGTGTGTGTGTGTGTGTGTGTGTGTGTGTATGTGTGTGTGTTTGTTTGTGCCAGTTTCTCATGAGCAACATGAAACCCTGCACATGGGTGTACAGAAACGCGATTGCTTTTAGATTCATTTCAGAAATAATTGTGTGCGGCTCCTACAGCGCCTCGTCGCTCGCCGAGCTCTCACAGAAAACCAATATTTATGTAGCAGGCAACTACTTAAGACAGCCTCGGATTTGTGTGACTGTCAATAGAAATTTCAGTTAGTCGACACACACAGACAGACGTTTCACTACCAACTATAAAATGCCATTATTCAGACAATGGGATCATATACATGCAGAAGCACTCGCATAACTCTGCATGAATCGGCATCTGATAGCTTTAAAAGTGCCTCCAATGACGAGCTGTCCCCACACCCACTGGGCGACACTTTATACCCCCACAGGGAGCGCGGAGGAGAGGAGACGAGGGCAGTGGAGGAGAGATGGGCGTGTGCATCCTCTCCATCTTTCCCTGAAAAAGGAGGGTCACGTCCATCATTGTGAACATATTGATGAGAGTGTTTCATTACACGGAGATGGAGGTTAAAATACTGAGCTGGTTTTCTCTCCTACCGCAATCCATTTAATGTCATACAGCTTCTTCTGAAATGGAGTATTTGAAATTCATGATCAAAGTGAAGTATTTTTAGTGCATGTTGAAAGAAGCCGTGTGTGGTTTTATTGAAATATTGTCTTGGGAAGAGGAGTTTTTGTTGGGTTTTTTTTGCAGAAAGGCCGCAGTGTTTCCTGTTGTTGGAGGCTTTATTCATGGTGGACAAACCCTGCAGCAGAGAGTTGGAGCTGTTAGGGAAGTCATTTTTGCACAATAATGCGAGATTGTGACAGACTTTTTAATCAGAGGACTGTTTTAAATGTAGTTCCACATTACTGGAAGACAGCTTTAGCTTATTACCAACAACAATAGGGAGACAGGCTGGTTTTCTTTCTTTCTTTCTTTGTCTGAAAAGTGACAGATTTGTGGTGTCCTTACTCTTCATTATGACACAGCTGCTGGGGATGTTTTTTTTTTTTTTGTTAAATTAACAGTAGATACAATATGCTGCCTTTAAAAACGAAGCTGTATTTTAACATGGAAAGTCAAGTGGAGAATATGTTTGGCATTCAAGTGGTTTAAGTTCGAGAGCACTGTTGCTAAGCGACATGCAATAAAATGGAAATATCCTTCCTCCCTTTTGAGGATAGAAAATGATTTTGTATTCATTGGATCTTACCATTAAGTTCAAGAAAAGAGTAAACCAAAAAAAATAGAACTTATTTAAAAGCCAACTGTTAAAAAAAAGGCACCATTCATGAATTTGGAGCTTTTGGAAAGTTTCTGTGTGCAAAGTTTTAAATACCATGTCTCTCCAGTCATTGATTAAACCCATTAAAAACATCCCTGTAAGTGAAAATAACATATTTAGAAGCTTTTCTTCAATGAAAATCATATCTTCCTGCTTTTAAATGACTTAGATTTAACTCTACACTGTTGCCTCTTCTAGAATATGCAGATCTATAAAGCCCCTGCCTCTCTGTCCTCTCACCCCTCCCCTAACTGCTTCTGCTCGAGCACACCAGCTCACCTACAATTCTGCTCAAACACTGTAGAACTACTCTGCATTACACAGTGGCAGGTTGCAATGTTGGAGTAGTTCAGACATACATGTTCTGGCTGGAATCTGCAGAAGTATAATGATACAGAAAGTCTCACCCTGCAAGTCGACAGCATTGGTTCTTGTCTGAATCTGTGTTTTTAGACCGAGTTGCTGCCTGATGTTATTGTTATTAAGCATGGACCACCGTCACACATATGCTCCAAGTTCACTTTTGATCTCAGCACCGGAGGAACACTTGATAAAGCAAAAGTAATAACCAGTGTTTCTGCCAGTGTACTACACACCTAACCAGGCCTCAAGCTACATTTAAAAGCTGGTAGCTAAAAAGAAGTGATAGAAAATAGTAAAATTCATAGTTAAAATAATCAGTTATTTATTTTAATAATCAAAATATTAGTTGACTGCCAAGTAGTTTATAGTTGCAGTCCTGGTTTGTTAAGTATGAAACCTTCGAGGTCTGAATCTGTGTTTGTGAGATTGTCGTTGGTACGCTCTAGTTTTAACAAAAAGATACACAATCATTGCATTAACTGCTTATTTTGCTTCCAGCATATTAATAAAAAAAACATATAGACATGGTAACAAGGTGTAAAACTTGATTTTCACTAAATGGGGTCTTTGAAAATCATCTCAAAAATGATATTCAGAAATGATACAGGAATATACAGTAAGGTTCATAATGTAAGAGGCAAACACTCCAGTGGAGTTACACAGACGCAAGTTCAGTCTGGGTGACACTGAAACAAAAAGAGATGTTCAATCAAGTAAAAAATGGGAACATTTGACCGAGCGTTGGCTTTGTGGCTCCACTTCATGAACATATTTCAATAATCAAACATCAGCGGGGTATGAAGTAAAATGTCAGAAAGGACTTCTTGTAAGCTCGGAGATCAGTCACAGGCTGAGATATTAAACAAACACAGCACCAGCTCACTCCTGCACATTGGCAGCCAGATGCAGCTAACGTCTGTACAGTCAGTACATTGGCGGTTTGTGGTGAATAAACACAAACCACACAAACACTCCGTGGCCATATTTGTGTAGCACACTGGTTCTCCAGCTGGCTGCATTCTGACATGCTCGTCTTCGATCGAAATCGGTTTTTCAAGCCCCCTCTCTTGAAGGTACTGAAATGACCTTGGGGTAATGCTTGAAATGACTGACTGAAGTGAAAGTTGGCAGACAGGTTAAGGAAAATGGGTAGACCTCCAGATGTAATGATTCCTTTGGCTCCCATTCAGTTTCTCATCCTCCTTTGCCTCCCTCTGTCCCCTCTTTCTTCTTCTTGCAAAATTGACTGTCTGCTCTCTGGCTTTCTGCCCCCTCTTTTCCTCTCTTTGTCATGTGGAACTGTTTCAGCTGCTGGGGAGCTTGCTGAACGCTCTCTGTTTCTCTCTGCAGGTGATCCAGGCTGTGTTTTTTGGACTGTGTGTCCTGATCGATGTGTCCAGTCTGCTGACTAAGGGAGGCGACAGCAGGGAGCAGGAGCGGCAGCTGAGGAAGCTGATTGGCCTGCGGGACTGGATGATGGCCGTCCTGGCCTTCCCCGTCGGAGCGGTGAGGAGCGAGCACACACACACACACACACACACACACTAGCCTGGGGACGGATCAGCCTCCCTTGCAGGAATCAAAGGCGTGTATAATGTATTTGCAGTATAATCAAGTCTCTGTCACTCTCTGCTTTTCTTACGACCTCTCTCGCCCTTATTTTCTTCTTCCTAAGGGTGTTGGCAGTTTTCTGTCCACCTCTAATAATAGAGATTCTTAGTGTCAGTGGCCTCATTGTTGGATGAGATTTTCAAATCACCACACGGAGCAAAAGGCCATTTGTTAGCATTTTTTTTCAGGTTCATCACATGGTTTAGTTAGCCAGCAGCTGTCTAAGAGAGCTCGATGGTTTACTCAACAGCAACAATAAACTATTCAGCACCGTCTCAGAGTTATTTAAAGCTCTCCAGAAGGTCTGTCTGCAAACAAAGATACTGATCAACAAAGGTAAGAAGTTTGTTTATTAGAAATTCAAAAATGTGTCTACAGTATGAGATCTGAACACTGTCAACCCAGCAGGGAGGTTCGATGGTGAAACAGGAGATTTCAAGTATATGTGACCTCTTAAAAAACAAAGAGAAATAATTATTGCCAAAAAATTATGCTTCAAAGCCCCAAACATTTTGTGGGTTTCTTCAGTGGAGGATTTGCTGTGTTTTTCTGTTTTACATTATCATCACGAATAGAGACAATGATGTCGCTGTCATTTTCTATCATCATCCTCATAAACACATTTGAACAAGAAACTTTTTTTGTTATAGCAGTGTACCATTTGCCTTATGCAAAGCCTTTGGTTGTTGTAATGTGATAACTTGTTGTCAGAACATAAACTTTTCACGTGATAAATAAACTGAGGACAATTTCACATGATTTTTGTTCCACTTCAAGTTCTACTTCATGCTTGGACGAAGACATTGTGAGGTTCTGCTAGTGAGCACTATGGATAATACAGTGATGAGTGATGTATCCATGGAGTTTTCCATGACCCTCCTGCTGATCATTGACAGTAGATGCTGGGCTGCCTCCAGAGCTTCAGACACATACTTCCTTGTTCTTGTTTACAGCCCCATTCTTTTCAAAGCCTTTCTTTGCGTATATAGAGATATCATAATATCGTCCACCGTGGTCAGTAAGAGTTACTTGGGAGTGAACCACACTTTTAATAAAGACAGTTATTTTCGATTCACTGAGTTTATCTAGAGCGAAAGGGACACATTTTGGTCGGTGGAATGAAAAGAATTAAGGTTCAAAGACTATCCCAAGTGTCAACATGTCTATTTGGACCTTCAGCGGTGCATATCAGCTGAATCTAGCTGTGAATAAACAGAACAGAGGAAACAGTGTGGAGTCATCCTCTGTTGCTTCAGACAGCCAGACTGTGACCTCTGTCTGATCCTCAGGCTGTTCTCACAACGCTGGCAGACTCCACCTCAGGTTCACACACGCACATGCACGAGCCCACAAAAGCACGCATACACACACACACACACACTTTTATTGGAGATTTTAGTTGGCAAGGTGCCCTGTTCATGCCACATTGCAGAACTCGTATGGCCGTCTGACCATTACCATATCCTAGTTTTCCACACATGCACAAAGTCATGAATATGCACACTATACACCCTCCGACACTAATCAAACGCAGTTGATCTCTAGCTGCCCCCAAGCAACCTGAGTGCCAGTCAGATTGCTGCAATAGTTGAGGCTACGAAACATCCTCTCTCTGACACACACACACACACACACACCTATACAAGCAGTCGGCTGGCATGTTTCCATGTGAGTGACTTGGGCACACAGTTCAGTTTACACACAGTACAATAGATATGATTATCACCACAGCTAATGCCTGAAACCTTGCCTGACCGATACGGGAACGGCGTGCATGCCTGCGTATGTGTGTATAGCTCCAGTTGTATGTATATAATCTACACATCCAAATCTGTGCAGAGGCATATATCACGGGCATCACGGTGCAATATGGTGGAAAAATGTGGAAGTCAGTTTGTGTGTGTGTGTCACATAGGAACAAAGTGTGTGCGTGTTTCCTGCCACCACCGGCCTGTTGAAAGCAGAGAACATGCCGGTCAGGGTACAATAGTGGGGGGTTGGTTCAGATGCCTTGAACTGGAACCCAGATGACGGTAAGGTAATTCCACCCCCGTCCTGCAGAACATGGTCTGGCCTTCATCCAAAACGTGGAGATACATTAGACCGAGAGGTTGTTGGCTTATGGTGTGTCCAGGACATGCAGGACAGAAGGTGGCTTTAACAGTCAGGTGTCCCACCAGGAAGCTCTCAGTGTGCAGAAGACACACGGGGAACCAGGTGACCCCCCGAATCAGATGGATTTACAATGTAGAAAGCATATCACAAGATGGGCACAAAGTGTAAAGTTTGGCCTGATGGTGGTGCAAGAGGCCCTGTTGTTGTGTAATACAAACCTTGAGCTCAGTGGTAACAAAAAGCATTCTAACATCTAACATTACCACAACAGTAAACATGATGACATGCAAGCATGACATCAACAGTTCAAGCTAAATATTAGCATGTTAACACACACATTTTAAGTATGCAACATCTTCCATGCTGCTGTCGTAACATTTTAAACAGTAGCATGTTAACAGGCTAACATCAAAATATCTTGTCCTGAGCTGAAGTAGAATTTTCTAACAGCAACTTTGACCTGCCGTTGAAACTACTGTAGATACCAGGGTTCATCTTCTTGAGACCATGACTGCAATTCTTTAAATTCTACTGAGGAAGTATGCTGTATTTTTTGTTCTTGCCGAAGTAGCACAACAAAAATGTTCCTTCTAAACCACAAAACTCGTTGGTGGGTTGGAAAGACATGTTACCTTATAAACACCAAAGTCAAACCATTTGTCAGAGCCAGAAACTGTCCAAAAAAAAAGTCTGATTTTCAATATTAATCAGTCTTTAACCTAATTTTCGGGTTCTGTCAGGATCATTAACCAAATCAGAATTAGTTTATTCTACATGTATCATTCATAAGTTCGCCAAAAATGCAGTTTGCTCTAACGAGATTAACAAATATAAAGTCTGACTACGTCAACTGCAACTAACAGTCACATGACTAAAATACTTATATGATTTATGGAGATGTAACTATACTGCACAAAAGACATTTTCAGTTTTCTCTACTTCTATCCATGTTTTTTCTGTTTTCATGGAGATGTAGGACTTTATATTGCAGGGGGGGAAAAAACAACCCATAGTGAGAATAAATGTGAATAAATGTTAAGAGGGTTAATTGATTGTCCCCTTTCAAAAGAAAATAGCCCCGTGGAGGTAGCTACAAAGAATTAAAGAAAGGCAAAACACTGTGACACAGTGTAATAAAATGTAAGCGGTGAATATGAGGATTATTTCTTATCTCTGACCTGACAGCAGAGCAGAAGTTGTGTAAATAGCAACAAGTTTTATGTTGCTGCATACTAAATGTCAGTGTTTTTGTGCAGCTTTTTGTCATTGTTATGTGTCCTTCTGGGCTCTGGTTGCTAACTTTGTGTTTTCTTTTCTCTCTGTCTCGCTGTCTAGTTTGTGGTGTTCACGTTCTGGAGTCTCTACCTGTACGACAGAGACCTGGTGTACCCCAGACTACTGGACAACTTCATTCCTCAGTGGCTTAACCACGGCATGGTGAGTCGCATCTTCTGTACTTATTATTTTGCACACATTTCAGGCACAGTCATGCAGTAATAAGTAAAAGGATGCAGATAAGATAAGAACAACAGAATACAGTTGATAAAACAAAGACAATGTAAAAAGTGCAGTAAATGTTTTAAAATTCCTTTCATTAGGGAGGATTTGAGGTTTATATTAACTAGGAGAAGAGTTCCCATTGGTCAGAAGGAAAATTTAAGACTGCAACTCTTCTGGTCACATCACTCATGAACTGCCTGCGTCTTATTTATTTTCGCCCATGCTTGTAAATCTTATTTATATAGTGTTTTTTATTTCATTTCAAGTGTGCATGTGAAGATCATAAAACTCTCGAGAGTAGTGTTCCTCCGTATCAGAGCTAGAACAGTAAAGACCATTTGTCTTTACACTGGGCCCTTTACATTTTCTTCTTAAATTTGAGGGATGTCTGAGCTGAACAGTGAGTTAAAAGATCTAAAATGTAAAGCAGACATGCAGGTTTTGATGGACTGGGTCACTGGGCCAAGTGCAGGACTTGTATATTAATGTTTCTATGGAGACCTCTGGGAAAGCTTGCCTAACCTGCTCGATAGGTGGCACAGAACTTTTGATTGATGGATCGTTATGTTAGAGTTCTGCATGGCAGGACATGTAAAGTCAGTTCTTCTTGGATCATTACTCATGTCAGTGGATCATACACTCCATAAACTTGATAAATCTTATCAGCGGTGAAAGCTGGTGCTGGTGAACCTCTGAATTTGAATAAAGTCAGTGGCGAGTGGCTTTGATTTGCCATCTAGAGGAAACAAGTCTAATCTAATGTTTAGACAACGGCTAACACACTGCACACCGTGTCTCCTGACTGATAACACCGTCGGCTGTGTGTGTGTGTTTAAATCCGCGTGTGAGATAATCTGAAAATGTTTCCAGCGCTCTGTCTGTAATATGCAAAAGCTCCTCATGAAACTTCCTCCCAGCAGAATGTGATCCTCGGCGCGGTGTGAGGCGAGGTGTGTGTGCGTTGTTGTGATCCTTCCCATAACGGCTGTTCAATTGAAAGAGACAAAGTCAGTGTGTGTGTGTGTGTGTTTTGGTGTCTCTTCTCGTACTCCAGGCGGTGATGTAATAGAGCGGTTGCTATGGCGCTGTCGCCAAGGACCAAAACAACCAGAGCACCACCAACGGTTGTGTGTGTGTGTGTGTGTGTGTGTGTGTGTGTTTGTGTAAGACAGAAAACGTGAGGAGATTTTTGTGTGAGTGCATGCCGCTGTGAAGGTTTGTGTGTGTGTGTTTGTGTGTCTATGTGTGTGTGTGTCCAGTCTGGTTGTAAATATTTTGCGGTATTCCATGGTATCGGTGTTGTTTGTTTACCCTGGCTACCACGGCAACCATGTCGCCATTCCCATCGGAGGAGGGAGGGGTCGGATGATGTAGATTGAAGGAGAAAGAAGAGACACAATATTTCAACAATGTGCCCGACGCTCAGGCCTACAGGCTAATTGAAAGTGAACAAGTGGGAGACTGACTGGAGACTTCGAGCTGAACTATTATGGTGTGTCTACTGTTTACCAATACTCACGTTGTAATTACTTCATACAGATAGCAGCGAGGAAACTCTTAAACTTGTTTACTTTAGAATTACTGCAGTTTCAGGATTTGGGTTTCGGATTAAAGTCAAGCATCTTCTGGCATCACTGTGTGTGTTGGTGCACAGCTGTGTTTCATAAATGTAGGATTGGAGAAGCAATTTTAAAAACCGGTATCGGACATCAAATTCAATGACAGTGATAGCAAACCTGACAAGATGGGAGATAAGGTAAGATACAATAAAACTTTTTTAATCCTGAAATTTTAAGAACAAAAGTAAATGTATCATAAAACGGAACTCTTACAGTCACATTATTCACAACAATATTGAGCAGCAGTCAGTTTCATCAGTACAAGAAAGTGCAACATGGTAATCAACCTTGTAAATATACTCATATTATAAAGTAAAGACAGAAGCCAACAGTTGCTTTGTATTAGCAACACACTGTCCACTGTAGGAACTCGGTGCAGGTGCAAGGTGGCGTGAATGTTTACAGGAACAGCCCAGTGATCAGCCCTTTCAGCCTTTTTGTTTCCATCGCAATGTAGGCTCCAACAGCTTCAACCGTGACTCCCACTGTGACAAAACAACCACAAATAGTCATTGTTGGATGTAACTCCAGTACCAAGAGCATGTGGGAAAAAAAGTGCTCCTCAACAAGGACATTGAGAGGGCAGAAAAATGGCACTTGCTGACCTTTTATCTTGCTAAAAACAGCCCTAAGTTCTGCAGGAAGAGTTCCTGTGGTCGGAAGACACACAAAGGTTCAGGCTGCCCTAAAATGGCCCACAAGTTCCTGCAGTGTAAAACAGCCACCAGGGGCAACTGTAGATGTCATGGAACTGAGCCAGGAGAGACTGATACTAAAGAATCACTACAAAAGAATGCTCTGCTGAAACCATGCGTACCATTTAATTTGACTGTCCAACCGTAGATTTATTCACTGTATATGAACGATAGTGCGGCAATGATTACTGGACTCATTGTTTAATTGACAAGAAGCCAGCTAAAAAGATATTTGAGAAACCCTGATCAACATTTTTCACTACTTTCTTGACATTTTATGGGACAAACAATACATTAATTGAGAAACAAATCAGTAAAATAATTGACAGGTGAAATAATTGTTAGGTGCAGCCCTAATGAATTAATGAATATGTTCTCAAAAATGGAAATAGAACAACCCAACAATGCCCAATGCCACGTTTTACAGATACCAAAGAGACCATCGTGTGACTCAGTAGCTGATTGGGATACTGCAAAATGACAATGATTACTGTCTGACATGTGAGTGAACAGTGGGCTGATTTGTTTACTCTGTCACAATGCCCGTTATAATGGACACTCAATAACGATGAGATTTGGGATGTTTTTGAGGGCATTAAACATTATGGTGGATACATTTACACATTTCCAATTTGCACACTCACAGACAGTAAATGCAGTAAACAACATAGTAAACTATTGCTTAACATGTAGCACTTGCTAATTTGTCATGTTTCAACGCAATAAGTATTTAATTTGTTTTTCATTTGGTGTTCAAATCCATACTTCGGTTTTGCTGGTGCATTGTTGCATATCTCGCTGTGTTACTTGTTGATCTTAAGAATAGCGAGACACTGTTGGTAGGACTTTGTGCCATGTCATATGTGCGTGCATGTGTGTCCGTGTGCACCAAACCCATGTAGATAGATTGAAAATCACCTCCATAGCGATACAAAAGGCTTCAAGGAACCTTTAAGATTTACTGAGAGGTTTGTTATGTGCAGATTTTTGCAAATGCATGCTTATTTAAAAGTCTATAAGTCTACTCATAAACTATTGCTTTGCTCGTTGCTTGCTCCATAATAGGATTCAGGGGTGGGGTTCCCTTCTGCTCCGTGCTGGTTACTAAGAGAACAAGACAAAACAAACCCCAGCTTTATTTTTATTTTTTAGTTGAATGAGTTATCGTCCCATCCCTGCTAAGGGTGAGCCCTACTCCGGGTGAATGAAAGCCAAAATAGTGTCCTCACAAGTAGAGCAAAACAGCAGGTGTAATTGTGTGTGTATGAAAGTGTGTGTGTGTGTGTGTGT